TCTGCTTAAGTCTGTTCTTGTATGTTATCTATGTTTTCCACTACAGCCCTTAGTATATTAAACAGTTACTATGAGTTTCCAGTTTGATCATTCCATCATCAGAACGCTATCTGAGTCTGATTCTGATACTTGATTTGTCTCCTTAAACTGTGTTTTCTGTCTGGTATGTACAGTAATGTTTTGCTGAAAGCCAGATATGATATACCAAAGTCAAAAAGAACTGAGGTAAATAGGCCTTTAGTATGAAGTTTTGTTTGTCTGGCTAAGAATTAGGTTTTATTTACTGATTGCTATAGCTGTAGGTGTCAGAGGCTAAAATTTCCACTAGTGTACTTGTTTTTCATCTTTCCTACTATCTTCAGGTTTCCCTACAGACTTCTTAAATAAGGCCTGAGACATGCAGTCCTTTCAACTGTATTCTCATTATTCAAGCATTCCACTGATGTGGTGGTAATGTCTGAAGAAAAGGAAAGCATTCTATGATCTTATGATTAGGTTTCAACTTAGTGAGCCTGTGCCCTTGGGCTGTGACCTTCACAGGTGCTTTTCAGTTGTTGATTTTCAGTTTGCTCAGATTTGTTGTTGTGAGAACAGGAGAAACAGCTTCCAAGCTCCTTATGTGACAGATCAGAAGTATGTTTAAGTTTTTAAGAAACTGTCATGCTTAAGTATGTTTAAGTTTTTGGAAACTGTTTTCCAAAGGGGTTGTAGCACTTTAAATTCCCACCAACAGTATGAGAGTTCCAGTTACTTCATGAGGGCTGGCAGTAGGGTGAAGCAAGCAAGAAGCACATGGTACAATGTTTAAGGAAGTAACCACTCTCAGATGCTAGTGCCTCTCACATTTTGCTCATCTGCCTCATCTCATCCTAGAACCAGCCCTGTCTTCCACATCTTTACCAAAATTTGAAAGAATGTGCATAGATTTGGAATTACTTTTTCTATAAACATTTGGTAGAATTTGCCAGTGAAGCCATGTGGACCTGAGCTTCCTTTGTGGAAAGGTATTTAACTAAACATCAACATAATAAATACAAAGTGATTTCAGGTTTTCTATTCTTTTTTGTTTATTTGTTTTTTGAGATGAGTCATGCTGTCACCCGGGCTGGAGTGCAGGGGCGCAATCTTGGCTCACTGCAACCTCTACCTCCCAGGTTCAAGTGATTGTCCTGCCTCGGCCTTCCAAGTAGCTGGGATTACAGGCACACAATACCATGCCTGGCTGTTTTTTTATTTTTAGTAGAGACAGGGTTACACCATGTTGGCCAGACTGGTCTTGAACTCCTGACCTCAGGTGATCCACCCACAGTAGACTCCTGAAGTGCTGGGATTACAGGTGTGAGCCACTGCAGCCAGCCATTTTTCCAGCTTCTTAAGGTATAAGCTGAGGTCACTGATTTGAAATCATTCTTCTTTTAATAACATATGCATTTAGTGCTACAAACTTATCCCTAAGTACTAACTGAGCATCACCCCACAAATTCTGGTATATTGTGTTTTCATTTCCATTCAGTTCAAACTACTTCCTGACTTTTCTTTCTTCATTGATTCACATTTTATTTAGAAGCATAAAGTTCTGGTTTCCAAATATCTGTGGATTTTCCACCAACCTTTCCATTATTAATTTCTGTTTTAATTATACTATTGTCAGAGGACATACTGTGTATATGAGGTGAAGTCTTCTAAATGTATTAACATTTGTTTTCAAACCTAGAACATAGTCTATGTCCATAAATGTTTCAGGAACACTTGAAAAGAATGTATATTCTGCTATGTTATATAGAGTGCTCTTTCAAGTCAGGCCAGGTTGGTTAATGGTTCAAGTCTATTATAATCTTGCTGATATTCTGCCTGTCCTATCATTTATTGAAAGAGTATTGAAATCTCCATAATTATGAATATCTACTTTGCCATAAAATTCTCAGCTTCTGCTTCACGTATTTTGAAGCATGTTATTAGGTGCAAAAATGTTTAAAACTGTTATGTCTTCTTGATTAACTGACCACTGATTAGTTAACTGATCATTAAAAATAATGCTCTTTATACATACTAATAATTTTTGCTCTGAAATCTTTTATTCTGTTTTCTTTTGACGAGTGTTAAGCATTATATATATATTTTCATACTTTTAAATGTTTTTTGTCTTTCTCTTCAAGGTATGTTTCTTATACACAGCATATACTTGGGTCATTAGATCTCATAATCTCTGCCTTTTAATTGGGGTGCTTAAACCATTTAGATTTGGTGTAATTACTGATATGATTAGGCTTAAGATTATCATCTTGAAGTTTATTCTATGTCCTATCCATTCTTTGTTTCTTTTTATTCTTTTTATGCCTTTGTATGGATTAAGGATTTTTTAAATTCCATTTCTCTCTTCTATTGTTATTAGTTGTAATTCTCTGTTTTACCATTTTAGTGGTTGCTTTATGGTTTATTGTTAAACCCCTTGCTAGAAACATAAGTTTTGTAAGGGAGGGAATGGATGTCAGTTTTGTTCTCTGTTGTAGCCTCATGTTTAGAAGAGTACCTAACATGTGGAACGCAATCAATAAATATTCGATCAGTACATGAATAGAAAAGCCAAGTTATAGGTTACAAAGGCATATTAATGTTCATCCACTTAAGAATTACTTAGATCGGAGCTTTGAAAATTTTTTGTGTTCTGTTTTCAATGATCAGATCTAAGTGATTGTTAATATGGCAATATATACATACAAAGGCAAATATACAGGTTCTGTATAAAAATATTTGATAGTAATAAAAATGAACCAGATGCTATATAGTATTAATGTCAATAGTACAGCTATATTTTAAAAAGTGCAAAGTAATCAAGTGAAACAAAACCAGCTAAATTCAAATTAAGCTTGCTAATGAAAAAAGTATAAAAAAGAATGGTTAGAAAAACATTAATATCCTTTGTACTACTTTAATCATTTCAATTGTATTGATAACAACCACTTACTAATAATCTAAAAATGAATTGATAGAGCATCTAAAACTCTGCACTATACTCAGTTCTTCCTCTCAGACTGTGTTTAAAGTAATATATTGAGTTATAATTATGTCTAGAGATATTATGGCTATCTGCTAGAGCTAGGGTGCTCCTAGAATTGTATGCAGCAAATCAGACACAGAAACAATAATATTCTGCCAATTTCTCAAACCTCACAAATCATCTGGGCTTTATAGGCCTAACTGAATCATTTTCTCCTTGCAAGCAGGGTAGGTTTCATGTTGAATCTTAGCATTATTTGGAATGTGTCATTCTCAAAAATCTCTACTGTAAGAAAGAGAAATGTATTAAAATATATTTAAGCAAAGAATTAAATGCAACCCAGGACAGTATAATTTGTATGAACAAAAAGAAAACTACAGGTTCATCAAACATTACTGGTCAAAAGTATGTAATAAAGCATACTAAAAATATTTCTATTGCTTTTGACCTGACTATAACTAGCCAAGATTAGATATTACCTGAGAGATTTCCTGTTGATATACTGTAAAATGTTCCTTGCTGATCTGTGGGAGGTAGAATGAAGGTATGACTTCAGTGTCCACAAAGTCCAATCCCCATGTTTTTGTGAAGAAGTCAGATTCTCTTTTTGCTAATCTAGGATCATTTAGTGCTGCTGGGAGATTTACTTTGGAATGATATACAGTCCATCTATGTTGATCTGTAACTAGAGATGGGGCAACATATAAACTATGTGAATCACCTGCAAAAAGTAAACAAGAGAACTCTGTAAATGCCGTAAAATTGATTCTATGTTTTAAAGTACATACTGGAAAACTAAAAATGCATAGATTCCATCTTACACAAACCAATTAATCTTTCACAGTAAATGATTTAATAAAAATCAATCTGATTGAATAATCTTCAGCTACCAGCAAATTACTAAGGGTTTGAAAAACATGCACAAGATAAAAGATATGCAAAACTTGAGAGTTATAGTTGCAGGGTGGAGTGAATGGTAAAGAAAGTCTTTCATGAATTCTTTTTTCTTAATGTACAATTACTCTATCTTTTTCTTTCAACATCAGAACTCTGCTACCTTCTATTACATATTTTCTATCCTTTAATACCTGGTGTTTTTTAGAGGTAGGCCTTTTTTCTATTATATCATGGCAGGCTGTCCTAGATAAAATATTCTTTGGCTTATAATTAGGTGACATAAATGTTGCTGTGGCATTAACCATACAAAAGGGAAAAATATATAGTTTATTCTCATTATTTACAGTATTTTTGTTCTATAAAGTTACTGTGAATGTTGAATTAGCAAATATTAAACCATTGCTTGTAGGAAAACTACAGAGTTAGGTTCCTATGAGCCTTTGGTCACAATAGTTTCATCAACCAATCAATACTTAACCTTGTTTTGTGTGTTTAAAAACACCTTATTCAGTATACATCATTGTTTCATTAACACTGAACTTATGGCTAATAGCACTACAATTCATGTCTGAATGAAGCTTACACAACACATGTATTTTCTCCATAAGTGATATCATAGCCCTCTTGCACTTAGGAACTCCAGATAGCATTTTAGCACTACGCTTAGGGACCATTTTAAACAGCAAAATCAACAAGAAAAAGCTCAAAACATGTGGCACCAACTAAAAACAGGCCACAAAAAGAACATTAGTTTATAGTTTGAGAGCTGAAAAAAGAAGGCAGAGCTTTGCCTAGTTCAACTTTAGCTGAGAATGTGCCTGTCAGGTATCTCAAAATTTTTACTGCTCTGCACGTCTGCAAATTACCACAAAAGTGCCACAAGTTGTGATTTGGGGATTATGAATAAATTTTAAGGAGTCAGGAGAATTTGCAAATACATAATATGCAAATGATGAAGGGTGAGTGTACCATGTTTTAACTAAGCAGCTTTCAAACTGTACCTTCATTTTCAACACATTTTTAGTTTATATAAGTAGTGCATGAAATACATGGAAAGAACTACATTGTAAGTTCCCAATCATTTCCAACTTTTTTTTTGAGACAGAGTCTCAGTCTATCACCCAGGCTGGAGTGCACTGCAACCTCCACTTCCCAGGTTCAAGCAATTCTCCTGCCTCAGCCTCCCAAGCAGCTGGGATTACAGGCGCTCACCACTGCACTCAGCTAAACATCATAAAATTTACTCTTCTAAGGTAAGTACATAAAACCTGACTACTCATTTAAAGATAATACAAATCATCGGTAAAAATCCTCCAAAAAAAAAAGAACATTACCTGTGGGTTCCTTGGGACACACATCTGGCAGTGACGGCACAGGTTGAATGTGTTTTGACGGATCTACCTCTTTTTTAAAGAAAACATCACTGCTGCTTCCTTGAGGCACTGGTGAAGAACTGTGGCTTGAAGCCATTGCATAAAATCACCACTCAACTGAAAATGAGCAAGAAATAATAATTAAGATACTTACTGCAAATCAAACTCCATCTCTAAGTATTACACGTCACAAACTTTCTTTCAAAAATAGAAGATTTTTTAAAAATCCCTCAAAGTAGGCAATTTGAATATTTGCCTTTAATTGTGAAAACTGATCACAATATTTAGTTTGCTCACAGTTATTTGTCCTCATTTTTTAAAAATTGAAACATCCTTAATCTTTTATTCAAAGTACAAAAAATATCAAGGTTGTACCCAACATACATTAAAGATTAAAAACACCTATTGATTCAACAAGTACACGGTAGTTATGCATTACAGGTAAGTGCATGTGCTTTTGAAGTATGCCTGCTTAGGTCCATATCCTATGTTTACTCACTAGTGGTGAGGAAATTTACTTAACCTTTATGTGCCTTTCCTTATCAGTAAAATGGAGATGAAAAGAGATCCTATCTCATAAACATCCTGTTAAGAATTATGAGAATGGGTATGCATAAAACATTTAAAATATTGTCTGCCTCAAAGTTAGCATTCAGAGAGGTTAATGTCACTGTAATTATTACTATGATGTGACTCCTATACAGTAATATTATTAAAAAATCATTAGTAATTAAATTCCTTAAAAAGGAAGTGTCATTGTTCAAAAAGCCTGCAACTGTATTAAGTAATTAAAACATATGTAAGCAAAACACAAGTTAACCTATATCTACATTTTAAAGTAAGTGCCTGGGCCGGGCGCGGTGGCTCAAGCCTGTAATCCCAGCACCTTGGTAGGCCGAGGCATGTGGATCACGAGGTTAAGAGATCGAGACCATCCTGGTCAACGTAATGAAACCCCGTCTCTACTAAAAATACAAAAAATTAGCTGATCATGGTGGCACGTGCCTGTAATTCCAGCTACTCGAGAGGCTGAGGCAGAATTGCCTGAACCCAGGAGGCGGAGGTTGCGGTGAGCCGGGATCCCGCCATTGCACTCTAGCCTGGGTAACAAGAGTGAAACTCAGTCTCAAAAAACAAACAATAAAGTAAGTGCTTAAAGAGTTTGTGGGGCAAGACAACATTATATAGGCTACAGTGTCAGGAAAGACTTCATAAATGAAGCAATATTGAAACTAGAGATACTAAAGAACATGTATTATTATTTTATTATTGAAATGTTTAGAGAACACTTAGAAGATCTGGCAAATATATAAAAGAGTAGGAAATGAGGAGCAGAGGCTGGGCACGGTGACTCATGTCTGTAATCTCAGCACTTCAGGAGGCCGAAGCAGGTGGATTGCTTGAGTCCTGGAGTTTGAGACCAGCCTTAATAACATGGTGAAACCTTGTATCTACAAAAATTAGCTGAGCATGGTGGTGCATGCCTGTAGTCCAGTTACTCAGAGGGCTGAGGTGGGAGGATCACTTGAGTCCAGGAGGCAGAGGTTGCAGTGAGCCAAAATTACTCCACTACACTCCAGCCTGGGCAACAGGGTGAGACCCTGTCTCAAACAAACAAACAAATAATAAAGAAAAAATAAAGAACAGAAATACAAGGCAAGAATCCGTGACAAATAGTTTGTCTATTCTAACTTGCCTCTGTTAGACAGAAAACTAAAAATACGTATCTGACTCAGTACTTTCAGTGCAAAGGAAACATAACCAAACATACCATTCACTGAAAACAGAAGAAACAAGCTGCTTTAAAAATGCACAAAGATAAATAAATTTTTCAATGTGCTTAAACAGAAAGCCTGGATAACATAAACAAAAGTTAATGAACAGTGAATAATCAATCGTAAGACTAAGGAACTGACTATAGTGGAAACTGGACTAAAGTGAAATGTTTACACTAGGAAGTAGTGACAAATTTACATACACACACACATAGATGGCTAAATTGTAGTTGGTTCTGTAAGCAATAAGGAGATATCAGAGGTTTGGTGGCAAAAAGAGTACTGTGATGAAAATGGTATTTGGGAAAATTAATTAGAGTCTTCGAAAGGCCTCTTGCATTCACATCTACACACATTAAGTGTATGGTTGTTTCTGTATAAAAGCTTACACGTATTTAAGAGAGATATACATATTTAACTAAAGGATAATAAACACTGTACAACACAGAAACACTGTACTGACAATTCTACATTTAAGATCAATTATGTTAACTTTCTCATTAACCAAATGAAATGACTAAAATAAACACGTTTTTGAAATTAATTTATTTTTAATTCTTGTGGGTGCAGAGCAGGTATTTATCCTTTGTTATAATCTAATTATATTCTTATAGTTATTTTTAAATGTACAAGTAAACCACTGTTTACTCTAGTCACCCTGTTATACTAACAAACACTAGGTCTTATTCATTCTATTTTTCTGTACCTATTAACCACTACTACTTCTTCTCCAGGGCCCCTTTCCCTACACTTACCCTTCCAGGTGTCTGGTAACGATCCTTCTACTTTCCATTATTTTCATTTTTAGATCCCACAAATAAGGGAGAACATGTGAAGTTTCCCATTCTGTACTTAGCTTATTTCACTTAACATAGTGACCCCCAGTTTCATCCATCTGTTGCAAATGACAAGATCTCATCCTTTTCTATGGCTGCATAGTTCCCTATTGTGTATATGTAGCACATTTTCTTTATTCATTTATCTGTTGATGAACACTTAAGCTGTTGCAAATTGTGGCTATTGTGAATACTGCTGCAATAAACATGGGAGTGCAAATATCTCTTCAATATACTGATTTCCTTTATTTATCGTATATTCTTAGGAGTAGGTTTGCTGGATCATACAGCTCCATTTTTAGTTTTTTGAGGAACCTTCAAACTATTCTCCATGGTGGTTGTACTAATTTACATTCCTGCTAACTGTATATGAAGGTTCCCTTTTCTCCACATCTTCGCAAGCACTTCTTAATGCCTGTCTTTTGGATAAATGCCATTTTAACCTGGGTGAGATATCTCATTGTACTTCTGATTTGCATTTCTCTGATAAATGTTATTGAGCACCTTTTCATACACCCATGTGCCATTTGCATGTTTTCTTTTGCGTAGTGACTATTCAGATATCTTGCCATCTTTTAGTCAACGTATTGGATTTTTATCTATAAGGCTGTTTGAGCTCCTTATGTATTCTTGGTATTAATGCCTTGTCAGACGGGTAGCTTGCAAATATTCTCCTCCCATTCTATAGGTTGTCTCTTCACTTCGTTGTTTGCTTTGCTGTGCAGAAGCTTTGTAACTTGATGTGATTCCATTTGTTTATTTTTGCTTTGGTTGTCTGTGCTTGTGCATTTCATTCAAGAAATCCCTGCCTACTCCAATGACCTGGACAGTTTCCCCAGGGCTTAGTCATTTCATAGTTTGACATCTTAAAGTCTTGCATCTATTTTGATTTTTTGTATATGGTGAGATAGGGGTCCAGTTTCATTGTTCTACCTGTGGATATCTAGTTTTCCCAGAACCATTTATTGAAGAGACTGTCCTTTCCCCCAACACTGTCCTTTGTTAAAAATGAGATCACTGTAGATAAATGGATTTTTTTTTTAGACAGTCCCACTCTGTTGCCCATGCTGGAGTACAGTGGCATGATTTCAGTTCACTGCAAACTCCGCCTCCCAGGTTCAAGCAATTCTCCTGCCTCAGCCTTCCAAGTACCTGAGATTTACAGGTGCATGCCACCACACCCAGCTAATTTTTATATTTTTGCCAGAGATGGGGTTTCATCATGTTAGCCAAGCTGGTCTGAAACTCCTGACCTCGTGATCTGCCTGCCTCAGACTCCCAAAATGCTGGGATTACAGGCGAGCCACCGCACCCGGCCAGATGAATGGATTTATTTCTGGGTTCTCTACTCAGTTCCACTATTCTCTGTGTATTATTATATGCCAATACATTGTATAATTTGAAATCACATAATGTGGTTCTTCCAATTTTTTTCTTCTGTCATAGGACAGCTTTGGCTATTCTGAGTCTTTCGTGGGTCTATACAAATTTCAAGATTTTCTATTACTCTGAAGAATGTCATTGGTATTTTGATAGGGAGTACATTGAATCTGTAGATTACTTTGGTTAGTATGGACATTTTAACAATATTGATTCTTCCAACCCATGAACATAGAATATCTTTCCTTTGTGTATGTGTTTGTCTTCTTAAATTTCTTGCATCAACATGTTATAGCTTTCATTGTAGATATTTTTCGCTTCTTTGGTTAATGCCTAGGTATTTTATTTCTAGCTATTGTAAATGGGGTTACTTTATTGATTTTTCACATTGTTCAATGTTGACATATGGAAATGCTACTGATTTTTGTATGCTAATTTTGTATCCTGAAACTTCACTGAATTTATCACTTCTAATCATTTTTTGATGATTTCTTTAGGTTTATCAAAACATAAAATCATATCATCTATAAACAAAGATAATTTTACTTCTTCCTTTCCAATTTGGATGCTTTCCTTCTCCTGTCTGACTGCTCCAGCTAGGACTTCCAGTACTATGTTGAATAACTGTGGTAAAAGTGGGCATCCTTGCTGTATTCCAAATCTCAGAAGAAGGGCTTTCAGTTTTTCTTAATTCATTGTGATAACAGCTATGGGTCTGTAATATATGCTTTTACTGTTTTGAGGAATGTTCCTTCTATACCCAGTTTTTTTTTTTTTTTGAGAGTTTTTATTATGAAGGGATGTTTAATTTTCAGACATGCTTTTTCAGTATCAATTGTGGTTTCTGTCCTTCATTCTCTTACTATAATGTAGCACATTTGCATATGTTGAACCATCTGCACTCCTGAAATAAATCCTACTTGGTCATAATAAATAATATTTT